ACTATAATATATATATATATATATTTTTAAAAAAACAAATTTTTAAACACCTTGAACTTCAGGGGGGGCGCGGGGCGCAGCGCCCCTCCAAGACAATGGTAAGGGAAACACTGGCATTAGAATAGCAGACAGTTTGTTGTAAGCACCGGGGTAGAATTAAGCTGTTTTCCTCTAGTGAAATGATAAATGCATGTTACTGCTAGTTTGCTGCCTGTTTCCTGAACATTACTATCTCCAGCAATTCACTTGTATTTGTTTAATTGCACACAGTAGGCCTGCAGTAAGCATTACAGTCCAGCTGAACAAGCATGTTTATTAGAAGAAATTGGCAATCTTACAAATATTCTCATATTCAATACAATCAAAGAACAAAATGATTTTGATTATTAAACAAGTGTGTGGAAACTGAAGTTCTGTTTTTCTCTTCGTGTGAATTTCAGTAAACAAGAAAATGGGAAAGTTCTGGAAGTAAAGAGCGACACTCAAGCACCTTGTGAGACAACGAACAAAGAGGCCTTTTTCTCAAGAGTGGAGTCATATTCAATATCCTTTTACTCAATGTAAACCCAGTATGATGCACCCAGGCCTTTCTGCATCTCATGTGATCAGTAAAGATGGCTCAGGTTGATGTTTAGTTTGATTTTGAAATATCACATCTATTGAAATGATATGATCCTTGTTTAGCTAAGTTAGAGTATTAATGAATGTGATAAGGTTTCCTTAGCATGGCACTGTTTGAAATGGGCAGGCAAACCCCGCACTCTGTCCCCTCTCATATGCGCCCGATATGGCTGGATCAACGTCGGCTGCGATATGCTCAAGTGCTCCAGCTGCCAGGCGTTCCTCTGTGCAACACTACAACCAACTTTAGACTTTGAAAAATGTGAGTAAAAGTTACAGAAAACACGAGGGCAAGTTTCATTTTGGCAAGGTAACCCTGATGTCTGCAAAAAAATGAAAGGTCATCTCTCTTTGTGTCTTAATAGATGGATCCCGCATTGCGGAGATTTCGAGGCAGCTTCAGTCGCAGCATGAGAAGTTTTGCCCCTGGCCTGACTTTCCCAGCCCAGGTAGGAGCCGGCCTCTTCAATGGCATACTTACAAAAAGAATCAATAGCATACACGTGTCATTTCAGCTGAATTTACCCTGAGGTATCTGCATGATGGTCAAGGTTATTGTTGATGTTTTTCAGAGAGTTTCTGGCTGGTTCCAGCGTGTGAACCGTCAGCACTTCTCACCGCCTTCTTAGAGCGCTTCCAGAGCGCCTGTCTGCTCGCACAGCAGCTGCCTGCCATGAAGCCGGAGCAGCTGAAGTCTATGGTGAGTTAGGAGAAGAGACTTTTGGATACTGAATGCACTCACTATAAAGAAGTACAGAAATGCTTTCCTTAAGAACTCTTCCAGGAGATAATGGAAAGGACTGTCAAGTTAATTGTTAAAACAACTGAAAAAAAGGGCCATTTCAGTTGCTCACGTGTCATTAATATCCCTTGCTTCCTTTGTAGTCTTTGACAGAGGAGGTCATCAGTGTTCTACTGCAGCTGATCGAGGATGAACACAAAAGAAAGAGAGATTCTCCATGTTCTGAACCCTTGGCTGTCCAGGTGGCTGCATGCATTGTTTCTCTCTGTGGCTGGTCTGCAAGGTGAGATGCTGGACTATTCAATACACCTAACACTAACGCATTACCTTTTTTATAGTACACACAAATTAGACACCGGACATAGAACGAAAAAAAGCACAGTTCCAGTGTCAAATGTATCTTCATGTACTAGCTACAATGAAAGGAGAGGTGAGGTCATTCAGTAAACCTGATTTAAGATTTCTGAGCCCTGAATTTTTATTTTAGCCCGGCCCTGCACGCGATGAACCTGCCTATCCTCAGATGCTCGTACTGTATGCGCAAGGTGGGCTTGTGGAACTTCTTCCAGATGGAGGGAACGCTATGCGATGTAGACGTTTCAACACACACTGTAGGGCCCTCTACCCCCTCTACTCCAACTACAGTTACTGCTGCCGTGGCCCTGCCTGAGGGCCAGGGGGACCAGCCCACTTCTGCCTCATCCACCCCTCCAGCTCGTATGAAGCTGAGGAGCCAGGACTTCACCCGATCTGACCAGGCAAGCTTTAAGCAGGGGCTTGACAGGCTAACCTAGCTTAGCTCATATATTCACTCAAAGCAGAACTACAATTTGGTGTATAACAATGACAAGTGAAATGCACTTTTAAAAAATGCTTTGGTTTTTGTTACAGGGTGAGGGAACTGCCTCCCCTGTGTCTTTGCGAGCCCGAAGCAGAGACTCACCCAGCCCTGTGGAAGAGCCGCAAAGTCCTCTGGGCCGGGGCAAAAGGACTGCGACCCGCGGCAGAGGACAGGGGGAGAGCCCTGGAGCTGAGGGCCCTGCCAGCCCCCGGCCCCCTCCCAAACGCCTGTGCCTGTCATCAGTTGGTGGTCCTGTAAGAACTAACATTATTGCTGATTTCACACCTTGCTTTTGTGCAGTTTTCTTTTGGCACAGGGCCAACTTGCTGCCTGGTCCTTTTCAAATCTTAATTCTATGCAATCTCACTTTAGACCCATGTACATTAGCAAGGAGATCTGTTTACATCACAGTAAGTGCTCCTAGTTTCTTTATAGGAAGCATCTGCAAGAGACAATGATAGTAATTTGTTGTGCACAGGTAGAAAGGGGCAGAAATAATTATTAGGAGACATATACTGTCAAAAACACCTGGTTTGCAAGCAGAGTTTTTCAAACAGTAACAAGGAGAGCATAGGTGCTTGAGGTTTATCCAAACATTAGTTCCCTTAGCATCATGAGATACAATTCTGATCTCAATTTTGATGATAATAATATAATCCTCAACATGGTTAGATTTGAAACAAGTGTTTTGTATTACTCACATGAATTGGCTGTTACAAAACAACCTTCTTTTTTCAGGATGATCTCCTGCCCAAGAATACTTTTGACCCCCTGGCTCAGCACAGAGACTGGTGTCCCTGGGTCTCTGCGGGAAAGGAGAATGTAGATCCAGGTGTGATCCCCTATCTGGATGGAGACTCTGTGATGCATCAGCAGGGCTGGAAGGCTGCTCTCGATCTACTCATGCCGATGAAGAAAAACTCCAACCCAACAGGAAGCAGCCCAGGACAGGCAAGTCGAATAATCAACCCAGCCAGCAGAAAAGACCACATGGCATGAAAATGATGCACAGACTTCATGTTTTTTTTTCTCCAGTTACCACTTCTCTATTTATGGTGTGGTTTAGACATTATCTAACGTTTTTCTATCTTCTCTTTTCTCTCCCAGGGCCCTCGAGATAAGTCTAAAAGGGTGTTTGCTATATTTCGTCAGTGGCAGGCCTCCTCCCCGTCTCAGTAGACTGTTTCCATACAGACAGCATTTCAACACTGAATTGATGAACTGACCGGCCCTTATTTTGTGGAACAGAGTCCAATGACAGGAGTGTCATATCAATGTATGCCATCCCTTAAAGTCGTGTTTACAGTCAAAGTATTTCTTGGGGGGGAAAGGAAGATGAATGTGTTTCCAAACAAATCAATGATTGTCTTCTCTGTGATCAGTGAGATATGTGAAGGATGCCTGTTAGGCTTTAAATCCTGATTCGTGAAAATTGAGATGTGCAGTAATTGGGGCTTCTATAGGCCTTGTGTCGTGGATACACAAGAAGCCCTCAAGTTATAGAAGACAGACAACGTACACATTAACCAGAAACGAGGCGAGCACCATTAACCTCCCATGAAGTCTGATTCAGCAGTCCTTCATGACATCATGAGTCTGGAATACAAGGTGAGAAATCCTTATCGTGAGAAAAGGCCACATGGCTTGTCATTGCAAAGGCAATGTTTACCTTCAATGTATGTTGAGGCATTGGAGGAGTGGTCAGTTTTTAACCTCAGATTAGCAAAAAAACTGAGGAAGTACTTTTTGTGTGTGTGCCGTTGTGAAAAGTAATGTGGATATAAGTTCTCATTTGGAAAGAACAATCCTTTTTTGATATTGTGAAATGTTTGTTTTCATTACATCAATCCTTATCACTGAGGGCAAGCGCAACCGTGTGCATACAGGATGACTGTACTTCCTTTTGGCCTTCCTGTGACATCTCATTCAAAAAGCAGTTTTCTCTGTCTTGCATGTGCTTTATCAATGTAGAGTTTCCTAAAAGGGTTTAATAAATTGCTCTTCTGAAAGTTTGCTACAGTGTGGTCCTCTGACATTGTATCAAAAGAAAGGATTAGTGAGGATTCCATGAAATATTATATTGCAAAAACAAGGAAAACGCATTCAGGCGGCGGTGGGGTGAGACTTTATTTGTTATCTAATCTGTACCATTTGCTGCTATCTGAAGCCTTTCAGCACTCACTTACTGGCAGACATTTTGATGCCTGTAAACTCAAAACATTTGGTGTGACGGGATCACATTAACACAAAGGCAGCCTTCACGGCATCATTTGTGATTACAAGAGAAAAGGATGTCTGTTATTAAAGAAGATATAATGAGGCTATACTTGGAGCAATGGTATAGCTTTAGCTATGGTTGTGCTCTTGTAGACATTCCCCTCATTTGTGTCTTGTGTTACTATATATTTCCAGCTAAGTCTGATTGAAATGATCTGATTTAAGTTTTGTTTCTAAAATTAGATTCAAACATCTGTATGCAACACAACTGCAAGTTGTGGAAGGGTTTTCTGTCAATGATTTCCAGCTGTGTCAACTTAAGACATGTTGAGTTATAAATCCAGCCATTGTGTCTTTTACCTTAGAACATGGAAGACAGGCAAAACAACAGACAAAGCCAGTAAAGAATGTCTTGATAGTGAAGTTTCTTCTGTCATATTTCTAAATAAATGGTTTATTCCCTAAATATAAAATAAAAGTGTAAATTGTGTCACATAGCACATTAAAAATATAAAACTAAAGGTTTCTAAATAAAACTACAAACAGCCATTTATGGTGACGTCTGTCGCAGATATATGACGTAGTCCGCGGAGGGATCCCAGCTAGTCAGAACCATGGTCAGAACGCAGAGGCAGTGAACAGCAGAGGTCTACCGCTCAGCTGCCAGCAGACACTGAACAGTGAAGACGCTTTGCGGGGAACATTTGTGAAAGTAAATGTTAACTTTCGGATAGTACCGTTTGCTAGACTGTCTAGCGTATCGGGGGCTAGCTTTCAGTTTATTTACTGGTGTTCTGCGGTGGAAATAGGAAAATGTCGTCTCCAAGTCCGGGTAAAAGGCGAATGGATACCGATGTGGTGAAACTGTATCCTTTCTGAACATAAACAACAGTCGCTGTCTGTTCGCTATGTCCTGCTGTATGTGGAGATGTGATATGAGCTAACCCAATGTGTTGATGCTGCTTGTTTCTCTTGGTAACCTTAAGCAGAAAAAGCTTTCACTGTGAATGTTTTTGTGTAAACAACATTTTGCTAGCAAACCCAAGTGTTAGCTATTTGTGTCCTGCGAACCCTCAGTCGCTTATCGGGACAGTTGTGAAGGATAATCAGATCAGCTCTGTCTTTTTACCTTCTTTTTTTTTTTTTTTCCAACTCTGTGTTTGTGTCGTCAGTCTTAACGTTGGCTGTGCATACTGTCTATATTTGAAAATAGCTACTACAGACGCTAACGGTATTCTTCTTTTCCAGGACAGTCTGTCATCTTGTCTCACAAATAGACCTGGTTGTGTATTAACACCTTTTGGCAAATGTGGTTTCTTTGTCCATTCTGCTGTCAGGGGAGTTGAGTCAAACTGGCCCTTTACACGTTGACACAGGAGCTTGTTTACATAACGTAAGGCTAACGTCAACTGAAATACTGCTGTCTTTTGTTCTGACGTTACTCTCCTAAAGCTCTGATGTTGATGCGGCATTTATAGCATTCTTCTTAGCTTTGAATTGTGACCACACAATGTTTTATAATTGTGTTGTCGCATCTGCCAGTTGAACTGTTACATGGTAACGCTGCTGCTCTTGCTGGTTAATTTCAACATCAAAATGGCCACCTGATCTGTGTCTCACTGTACTTCAGTGTCTGCAGGCACAAATATGGGCTATCATTTTAAAGTGGTCGTGATATCTTTTGTTTTATAATAATTGGAAGTGAACGTGGCAGCTGTTGGTTAAGTGTTACAGCAGGTGGCCTGCAGTTGTTCTCTGTGGAATGCTTGAACTTTTAGGAAACATCTAGTGTGTTCTGTTTTCAAGTCACCATGTTTACTTTTGTCCTGCTGATGTATTTGTTAAAGCTCACTTAGAGCTGACAAAGGGAGCTCTGAGTTTAGCCATACCAATTCATTGTCATTCCATACGGTCTTCTAGAAGAACAGTTTGAACAACTCGTTTTGTTTTTGTCCCAACACAGTGGGAACCAGCTTTATGATTGGGTAGCCTGTTACTAGCTGGAAACCACAGGAGGGCGGGACTTAGAACAGCTGATGGGATGGCTTAAATGTGGCCCTAGAATTGGGCTGGTCTGAAAGAACCAAAATCAAAGTTCAAAATACTGATTTTGTAGTCAAAGTTTTAAGGGCTAAGTGTCTGATCAATTTAAATGTTTTAGCTTTTGTTAGGTATGCTTTTTATAGAACTGACTTATGTACTATAGATTCTACATTTCATAATACATCACATATCATCCCATTAGAGTTGGAATATCTGTGACATGTACATTTTCAACTTTATTTTGGCCTGTTGCCTGAGGCATTTTATAACGTCTGCTAGCACACAACAGTGCTTATTTGAGCAGGTCGGTCTCCCCCCAGTTGAATACACTCATGTGTAGGCTATGGCAGCCATGTCAGAGTTGTAAAGCAGAGAGTTTTGAAGCACACATACCTCATTCACACCAACGGTGTTTCAGGGCCGGTTCGGAGCTGGAGCTTGAAAAGCACCGGGTTTTCCTGTTCACACCGCAGCGGAGCAGCCTCTTAGCTCCAGAATCCGGTTCGTTTCGAGCACCAAAAAATTGTCCGGCTAGAGCAAAAGCACCGCATACATCAGGCTTACGTCGAGGCGGGATCAACTCCTGAACAACAACAAAAAGCCGGCGTTTTATCCAGTTTGTACACAACGATGGAGAAACTTAACAAGCAGCAGTGGTCCACTGAAGACACCAGCTACCTACTGGGAATCTGGTCTTCCGAAGAGGTACAGAGGAAGCTGGAACACAATCGGCCATTGTTGTCGGTGTGAGCTGTGAGGGGTTTCCGCGCGGTTTGGCTTTATGAAGCAGGCACGCAAACGGTTACGTCATGACTCAAACGATGACGCAATGACGCAGCACCAGTCGAACTCTGGGCGGTGTGAAAAGCTAAACCGCGGAACCGGTTCTGAACCTGAAAAGCTCTAGCACGGAGCTTGAACCGGAGTTGCGTTGGTGTGAATGAGGTAACAGACATGCAGTAGTACTACACCCCCTCTCCTTCTAAAGCTACTTGACTGACAGTTTGCTGTATGCCAACGGCTCTATTCCATGCAATCACTTGTGATTTACCATACCATGACTGAGCAGGAGTCAGTGTTGAGGAAGACTGCTGTGTGTGTTTCAGCAGGATTGAGATTGAAATGCTTACATAGTTTGAAAACGGAATAGTCCATCTTGGTGGGTTAAAGTAGGGAGAGCTCCTGGTTACTGCTATGGGAAACCGTTTTGTCCCCAGTGTAAAACTAGCAGTAACAACCTCCTCTCTGTGCTCCCTATCCCTGCGTCTCCCTCTAGTGAAACCCAAACCTGAAACTCACACTGCGTTTTACACAGGAGCGGCTTCTTTCTCATGGGCTGACACTGAGAGCCCTCAGACGTTCATTTGCTGATGCCACTGGAGAGCTGAGAATCTAGACCGTGGGCCATTAGGGAATTCATGAAAATGAATGTCAGAGTAACCTCAGTGTGTGGTACGACCGGGTTTAAGCTTTGTCCTAAGCCAGGTCGATGGAGGGCAGCCTGCTTTCAGCACCAAATGTACAGTTGGTGTTTGCATGCCAGCAGCCTGAACTCTTAGTACCATCTAATGAAGTATAGTCACGGAGAAGGCATTAAGTGTTGGTTTACACTGACACTGTTTTTTTTCTGTGTCCTATAATCTTTCACGCCCTTCTTTCCAAACGTTTAGTCCGGGGTGAAAAGAGAAGGCTTGTTTATTGTCTGGTTCTTGCCAAACTGTAGTTGTAAACCTTTTAATTAGAGTTTTTCTCCTGAACTTTTAGCCACTGGTCTTGGTCTTGGTCTTGGACATGTTGCTTCAATTTTGGTACATGGCGTTCTTGAACCAAGAGTCTTAAGAGTGTGTCATTTCAAAGAGCTGTTCATTCACATTGCTGTGTGGGGTTGACAGCACATACTGTGTAGGTTGTTGTGCTATTATTTGAATGTATTCATCATTCTTCTCGCTTTACAAAAGCGTTCAAGTGGTAAGTTGCTGGAATTTGAGCACAGGTAGATTACAAAGGACTAAGCCTATTTTGAATGCTAACGCAAGCTTTTGTGATGTCCCGATTTTAGTGCAGAGAACAGGACAGAAAAGGAACAGTGTAGAATTATCTGAAGACATGTTTGTACAAATGTGTTTATACATTTTCTGTTGTCACAAAGGTTCAATAGCTGATCTGGTAATGGAAAGCTATATATTTTAACCTCTTTTATAATACACCATTAATAGATAAACTTAGATTTTTTTATTTATGGAAGTTAAATCATTTCTGGATGCTGTATGTGTAGCATGTTATAACTAATAATGTATGGTACCCTGCTTTGAGATACAGGTAACCTAAAGGGCTGCATTCACTGCATTCTTCTCATGAAGTGTTTATCTTTATCAAAGCATGACCCTGGCCACTTCAGGTGTTTATTTGTTGTTATAGGAAATCTCATTACATCAGAGGGGATGTTAAGGGCATTTTTAAGAAAACAATAGTGCGTCTCAGCTGTACTTTTCAACCTCTCATTTGCTGCCAGAAGGTCTGAAAGTGATTGGATAGATGTTTTCTGAAGCATGGCCACAGATGAAATATATTTCTGTGAGACTGTGGGGAGTTGTTGGGAGGGGTATTAAATGCTTCATCAGCCCCAGTTTCCATCAGCGTACCTGTCATAATTAGCTGTATGATACAGGAATGTTGTATGTCAGGTTTGTGCTATATTTTTCTTTAAGAACGTATTTGTCCTTTTCCCAGTAATCCTGTTTTATTCTCCCACTATAGGGGAGGCTTTCAGGGGAAGTATGTCCATCTCCTCCTCCTCTTTATTTTATTTTAATGTCCTCCCCCCTACTCCCTTTCACATCCATCCGTCCTCCTTGAGAGGGAAACCAATCCTGAGCGTTATCTGCCCTCCGCTTGGCGTTTTAGCCCCATTGTGCCCCTGGAACACGACATCCGGACAGCATCAGCAGTGGGGTCTTTTGTGTGTCCCGTTTACAGAAGCCTCTGTGACCTCCACCTCCCGCTGGTGTGTCAGACCGTGTCACACGGTCACCGGCACTAGACGCAGTTTACTGTAGTGAAGGAGCCAGCAGTTCTCTGTCTGACAGCTGGGCCTGACGGAGAGATTGACTGGATGAATAGGAGCATGATGGACTCATGACAAGAATGGGGAATGCTGTGGTCTGGTGATGAAGTGGCATAAACAAAATGCTTTGTTCTTATGGAGTAATGGAAGAAGCAAAGATGGTTACAGAATACATTTAATCATATTATTTATTCTGCTGGAAAACATATAATGTAGGTATAAAACCGGAAACAAACGTTGCAAATAATTCAGTCAAATGATATGTTTGGTTTCAAATCCATAGTGTGTGTCATGTTATTTCTTCCACTTAGCCTGGCTTCAGTTGATATATATGGTTCACACTAAAGCCCAGTTATCTCTTCATAGTCCATGTTTATGTGGCCACAGGTTAATACATCATCTGTAGGCTCAAACCCTGAGGCAATGTTGGGGCTGCACATACTGAACCAGTGATGGTATGGAGGGCTGAACTGAAACATACAGTGTGTTTCTCCTGGGAAAAGCTCATAATATTCAAATGGTTTTGTCTTGTTTACAGTCAGACTTATTCTTTCTCAAGATGTATATGTTTTGGCTCTTTTCTTTCAGTACCTGCTTCTAAATCTAAATCTCTTTTGTTTGTGCTCAGTGGACATTTGCCTTTGTCTGCATCCATGCAGGTTTTCTTGGTTTGCTACATCATCCTGCCCTTACTTAGCTCCTAGTCTTCTATGAATTCATTTCTACATGAGTGAACTTAAGGTAACATAGGGAATTGAG